AATTTATTCCGTCGGGTAACTGAAACAGATTCCATGAATTCATTCGGTAAATTCGGCCGGTGGTAGGTTATCGAGGGTTTAGTCTTTTCGGTGATTTCGTTTTACCTGGGTTGAGCGAATAGTAGCTTGTGGGATGAAAATGATGTCGCCACTGGTGTTCTGCGGTCGAGGTGAACCGAGAGGGTTTAACTTACACCGGGATTTCAGGGAATTTTGAGGAATGATGTTCGCAAATGTAGGATTAATCCTTGGAGTGCTTTCTAAAATAACGAGATTTCGATGAAATTTCTATCTTTTACGATTGCTTGTAAATTATAGATACTCTAAGTCGAGTTATATTTGTAATTATTGTATTTGGAAATAATATGAAGTATATGTGATAATAATTTTTAATTTGAAACTAAGAAATATTATTCAAAGTAATTATTTTCATTCTGGTTTTCCCTCTAAATTTAATATTTTTATTTTTAAAATTGTCTCCTAATTTTTTTTCAATTATCTTTTCGATAAATTTGATAAAGTTCTTTTACAGTGATTAAAATTTTATATTTCGAAAGTGGGGACAGTTGCAAATCTGGGGTGAATGAAGGGGATGGTGCTCGACACTTTCGTTGTCGTGGCTCGTTACGATTGCAGAAATGGTGGGAGTTTTGCCGCCCTGCTAGTCGACTACCGCCGTCGGCGGAGATTAATTAACTAGATAACGGTCGGTGGCTGCGAGGGAACGTTTGAAAAAGAAGGTCTAGTAGGGGAGAGTTGAAGAGAGAGACGAGAAAATCTCGTGGGGGTATGTGGCCACCTTGCAAAAAATGACTAACGATGATCTCAAGAAGATTGGTGGTAAAAAAGACACATTTTCGACATTTCAATAAAATTTTTTCCTGAAATTTTTATATAAGATTAATTTAATCATTGATTAATATTAGTAAAAGTAACTTATATAACTTTTATAACTTTTTTCAACTTTAAAGCCATAAAATATAAATGAAAATACTTAACTCAATTGAAACGAATCTCAATTTTTTCAATTGAAAAATCAAATAGATGCTTCCAAAATCATAATATATTTCGAGAATTTTGATTTCTATTCGTTATCATTTCATTTTTCAATGATGATACCACTCGTATCAAATTCGTTTGCATATTTTACTAGATAAATGATAAATATCAATATGAGATTAATTCATATAAATAAGTATATCAAACAAATTCATGTTACATAAAATCTTTTATGATATATAGTTATTTTATCATTTCAATTTCAAATCATCTGCACTTCATTTATTCATATTACAAATTTAATATTTATTTTTAAATCTAACTTAACATATTCTATTCTTACCACGAATTATGTTCATATTTGTTGCATATAGATGCTTCCAAATTTAACCTAACCTCTTTGTATTGAAAAGTATGTTATTTTTGTCAAATTTTAAAAATATATTTTGATCGAAGTAAAATTTGAAATAGAAAATTAATATATTTGTATGTATTTTTATATGTATATAAATAAATAATCTCAAATAATTATTACTTTAATTAAATTACTTTTCTACTATCAATCGAACAATCGATGTATGATACAATTTATACACTATTTTTAATCACATTTAAAAAAAAACAAACAAACAATTGAACAATTAAAATTTAATTTGTAGTTAAGAGATTATGCACATTATAAAATATAACTGATATATGTACATATGCATATGTATACACACATATCCTTCGCTGGGTTCCAACAATACACACAAACCAAAGGAGAAGGGGAACCAGAATTGCACGGGCATCGGTAGCCATGACGGGAGTTTCAGAGTCGACTCTTGGCGTATATCGACTGTGTCGCCTCATCTACAAGTCAATCAGGCTCGCGTGCCAGCGACTCGTGAAGGCGGTCCGGTACACGTAAGTAAGTAGCCGACCGACCGGCCGGCCAGCCGTTGCAATACATATACCTGCGGCC